CAGCAATTCACTGTAATAATGTAATAAAAAAAATAGAATTTAGAATAAAGGTTAGCTTTGGTGGAAATGTGGTTGGGTGCGCCTAGGAAAAACAGGCCATCTTGCATGGATATTTGTTTAACAGCGAGTTTCTGGCGACAGGCCTCCCCGTTCCTCAGGCCTTATATTTTGATTTTTCGGTTATTCAGAGTATGATTTATTGAATAGCCTGAATTTGGACTATGAAGGAAACAAGTGTTATCGTACCAGACAGAAGTGAGGGCAAATGAACCCGTTTGCTGCATCTAACGTTCTGGTTCAATAAACATTTTAAATGAATATCTATGTGAGATAGTAGGTGCTCCACAACATATTTCTTAAAATTCCACTGCGATGGGGCATTTTCTCAATTGATTTGTGATACTCAGTGATGTCACCCCCTCCTGTAGGGAAGATGAGTGTAGGGTAAGTATGTGTTTGACTTTTCTGCAGGTTTTTTTCTTAATATATATAAAAAAAAGCATCATGCAAAAGTATATTGCAGTATTAATACTTACCTGTCCTGCTTTCTGTGCTCAGATCTTCACTTTACTATTGTTGCTCTACATCACTGGTGTGTTCCATGGCAATGGGACTTGTTATTAATATTGTTATTTTCCAAGGTGTTTTGGTTTTTCTATGTGGGAGACAGAATCAATTTAAGTGGGTTTTCAGTAGAAATGTGCCTGAATCAGTCAGTAAGTTGCTTGAAATTCTGCTCCCCTATTATCCATAGTCCCTACTTAGTAGACATGGGAATAGGTGTTTATGCTGGAGAGAAATGAACAATATCCTTCTGAGAAGACTCAGATTAGAGGTGCCATTGTCTCACACACAGACCACATACTGGTTCTATTCAGCGTCACTGCAAGTGACATGACTGTCCTAGAACTGATATGCAGCCAGAAGTTAGAGAATGGAAGCTTCCATCTAGAGATTCTCACACAGGAATTTTGCTTTGTGATGAATCCCCTTTAATAGGTACTTGTCTATTTTATGGCATTAAATTTCTAGACATATAACTCTGCCAAAAATGCATTTGTTTCATTTTGCATCAATTTGGATATTTTGTTTTTCAGATCTGAAATTTGATTCAGTTGCTTATTCAGATTGGTCCGAATTTTCATTTTGGCACGAAGTCACATGACCGCGCCTGTAATTCAACTCAAAACAGCTAAAAAAAAACATCGGATTGGCCAGAGAACAGTCACATGTCCAATTTAGCTTTGTTTTGAACAAAATTCGGATGGATTCAATTTTTTGTTAAAGGAACATTCAGATTCATTCAGATTTGGTCTTGTTCAAATTTGGATGCATCTGAATGTCCGAATTTAACGAAATTCATATGAATATCCATTTGGAACAAAACTGAATCTATAAATTTACTGATCTATAAATTTCTGATGTCTAATAGGAAACATGAATATGTACTACAAAAGGATTACTTGGAAATCTGTTTTCTCTTCACTGAAAAAATGTTGTGTGTGGAAACATATGCAGTGCCCTCGTGCTGGACAATATGGCATCAGATGTCTGGCCCAGTTTAGTGCAGAGTTGATATTTTCATTTTATCTTGGCAGGGTAATAGGTTTGAGTTGCCCAGTTTGTTTATCTTCATGCCTGGGCTTTTAGCCGTGGTAATAGCTGATACATGGATCAGTTTGCCTGGCAACTGGGTTTATTTAAAGATCAGTAAAGACCATTTTACTTCAATAATGGTATGAACATTCATAAATTGCTGAAAGAGTTCCTAGAACAGAGCAATTTAATTTATTTTAGGATAATACATTATTTAGCATTTTCATAAAGTACACTTTCTCATGTTGAATGTACGAATTCCCAGTTTTGAATGCAGAAACCATATTGTATTATCGGTACATATTTTGTTTAATTATTGCAACATTTATGTAAAAGTACGTTTTAAGGCGACTTTTATTTGCTTGCTGTTTCATATGTTAATTACTGTATTTTAAATGTAGATTTGTAGAGGCTACCTCTAGAGACCATCAAGGAATGTGTCAAGGAATGAGATTAGTATTTCCTGTGACACATGCTTAGTTGACACCGAAACTGCATCAGAACCGCAGGTTTTACCGCAATTGATGCTTTTTAAAAACTTTTTGGAGGGGGGGGGCTTTTTTTTTGCTTAAAATGGGATTTCAAGTGAGTTCCGTTGCGTTCTTTTGCGTTTGCATGCATTTTTGATGCATTTTGATGCGTTCTGTTGCAATCCAATGCAGCTAAAATAGTGCAAGCAATACTTTTTCTGGCTGCATCAGAACGGACTAGTCTGGTGTTAACAGAACACTAGAATCCCATAGGAAAGCATTGTGCTATGTTTGTGATTCAGCTCAAAAACGGAACGGACTGCATCTGGTGTGAATGGGCCCTAAAGGAAACCTTTCCAGAAAAAAAAAATTGAAGCTGTCATTGCTGACTTCTCATATTGAAAATGTTGGTTGCCTGGCTATCTTACCCTCTGGCTTCAATATTTTGAGTCCCTAACATATCACCAACTTTTTGCACTCCCCTTTGGATCCAGCAGTTGATTTTTTCCACTACCTTTCACCACTGCATGTATACTGACAGGTGAATTGAATTTGTCCAGCAAGGCAAATAATGGGGTCTGCTCTGTCAGTATTTTTCTCATCTTTACCAATAGTAATACAGTATTTTTATTGCATTTTACTAGATGATATACTTGAAGAGAGACCCTGTCACCAACTTTGTAGGTTAAAGCGCAGACAAATCAAGTATTTTAAATGCATACACTTGTGCTTTTCTGATCCATAATTTATTTGTTTCTTGTAATGTGCCTTTGAACTTGCTAGAAATGTGAAGAATAAGCTCCCCCTCCTTGCATGCCATAGCCTTTTCCTCTTCTGGGAGTTTTTAATTAATCCCTGTGCTGGCCCAGCTCCTTTGCCCTTCCCTTCACCTCCCTACATTTCCTTTTATGTAATGGCACTGGGAGGAGCAATAGTATTGAGTGTCACTTAAAGTGGTACTAAAGCCTTTCATTTTTTTAGCTTGATTACATTTTTATATACCAGCTAAGCATAGGAACATAACTGCTTTTTAAACAAATATCTGGAGACAATGACATATCATTCATTCACCACCACAGCCTCCCGGTTCCTGAGTGCCGCTTCCCTGTATTTTTTATTTGGGAGATTCCACTCATCACTTTAGAGTTATTCTCCCTGTTCCCCCTTCTAGGGGCTACCAGTCCCATAATTCCATTGCCACCTCTGCCACTGAGACAGAGCCACCCAAAAACTGGGTACCTGGGGCAATGATCTTTGCACCAGCTCAACCAATAAGAAAGGCAAGATTTTGCAAAAGAACAAGCAGCACACAAGGTAAGTACCAAGGTCAGCTGCTGTAATTGATTTTAATATTTTAATGCTTATTAACACTTTAAGTCTGCTGGGGCTGCTGAGTTGACATCCAAGATGGTGGAACCCAGCAGCAGTTTCAAGGCTTTTTGATGCTTACACAAAGGAGGTTTTTACGGGTAAATAACATTCATAACATACAATCACAGATACAATACGGAAGATTGTTGTTGAAATAATTGGTCTGGCAACAGGGTACTTTTAAGGTTATAATAATATTTGCTATGATTTTAATAATTTTCCTTCTCTTTTTAAATAGATTCGAAGACGAAGACCAACTCCTGCAACATTGGTCCTCAGCGGTGACCAATCATCTCCAGGTAAAACATACCTTTCTCTACTTCCTTATAGTGATAAAATATACAAGTATTTTTACTCATAAAAAAATGTTTTATTAAGCATGGAAATTAGATTATGATTTATTTCCATCCCTGCTATGTAGCTGATCGGATGTTAAGTACTAGTAAAGATTTTATTATTAGGCCTTGTTTAGACAGGCAGCTGAAGGGCGGTAAAATCAGGCGGTTGCTCCACGGTTTTACTGCTTCTCATCCACCCGCTGCAATGTTAGCATTTGGGCCAGACAGTGCTGTATATATTGCCGCAGTTTTTGGCAGGTGGTGTCGTCCGCCAAATGTGACCATAGTGGTGAAAGGCACCACGCGGCAACTGCGTACCAAGTGTTTGGCATGCAATTGTGGTCCAGTAGTTCAATTAAAAATCTTCTTTTTTTGGGATCCAAAAAAAAAAAGGCATTTGGGAGGCAGTAGCATTGAATCCTGAACACCGGCAGCCAATGCTCTTCCGCCCTGTGAAAAGTTATCACCTCAACCTAACCGCTCAACCATCATGTTCTCAAACAATTCATCCCCACACAGCTCCCTCCCCATGTATCACTTCCCCCTCCCTTTTAGATTGTAAGCCCTCACGGGCTGGGCCCTCCTTACCATCTTGTCTTGATGTGTATTGTGATTGTAATGTCCTCCTTATATTGTAATGCGCAAACTGTTGGCACTATATAAATCCTGTATAATAATAATTATAATTATCAACTGCAGATCACTTTTTATAGGCAGCCATCTGACTAAATGAGGCCTTAAAGTGTAATTCCTGAGAGAAAAATTAAAGATCCTTTATGTATGGAACAGTTATATACTTTGTAAGTGTCTTTCTGTCTACTCTTATTTTAAAACTGACACATGGATCCCAGTCTTAAGTGGGGAGGAAGGTTGGGGGGTCTACTTTTATCAGTATTGAGTGATGTGCAGTAAAAGCCTGTCAAGAGTGTTACAGCCTGTGTCTGGATGGCTTGATTCACACTTTCTACAATGCTTCTCATGTGCTTCAATAGCACTATAGCAAAAGTGTTTTCATAGAATTAGGAAAAAAATAAATGTAGGCTTTGAAACTGGCAGATTATTTTTTGTGCTGTCAGATTCAGTGTGCTATATATAAAACTGTATGATGACTCAGAACCAATCAGATTCATCATTCATTTCTATTTCAGTCTGATTTATTGCTAATATTGAGGCAGTTAACACACAAGTATTCATTAACTATAGTGGGGTTAATTTACTAAAGGATAAAAATGTTAAAAATAATTTTAAAGAAAAAATCATCCTTTTTTTTTATTTCTCCTCCACTCATTAAGGTATTAAAGGTCATCACAGTTTCAGGTGATACTCCTTCTGTAAATGAAAACCAATGCTTGCTACCTAACAGCAACCAAACTATTGTTTCATTTCCTAAATTGTTAAACTGTGTACGATTGTATTGTATAAGAGTTTTTCTTTCTCATTTGTGGACCCGGCCTCCGACAAGGAAAGTATAGTCTGTTATAACGAGTCCATGTTTTGATTTACTACTACTGTTTCTTCATACTTTTGTTGTTGTAATAAATATAGAGATTTGTAGTTTAGCCTCTGGAGATAATGCGTTATTTTCAATAAGCCAACTTAAGGTGCCCATACGCTCTTCGATCCTCGTTCGGAAATCTTCCACGAATGGTCTTTTGAATGACAATCGAACAGTTGATGGGACACCAACAATGTTTTTTACTGTAATCCCGCTCAAATATTCTCGAAGGGTGAGGCCGGAAAAATGTTTTCAGAATCGTACGAAAATCGATGGATTAGTGGCATTTTCGTACAAAAGAAATGACATCAATGTGCAACATGTGCACATGTGCAAACGAAAATCTGTTCTGTCGATCAACGAAATTCCTTGAGTTAGCATTGCTAAAGAACGATTATCAAAATCAACATTGGTCTGTGCTTGATGGGCTATTTGAGCTAAAATCAAAAGCGGGTTCTTGGCAACAACGAAAATTTCCCATCGAAAATCTACAGCTGTATGGCCAGCTTTACCCATAGAGGATGAATTACTAAATGAATAGCAAATGTTCAGTTTGCATAGTGAATAGGGTGAAGTCGTGTTCACTTGATGATTATCCAATCATGTGGAAGCAAAAAAAGTTTTTTTTACTTTCCTGGCACATAATCAGGAATTTAAAATGAACATAGCTTCACCTTTTTTTGCTTTGGTAAATAAAACACATTTACTTTGTGCGCAGAATCTACTCCAATGAGCAAGCTGATCTCTCTGATATGGTTACTAGATATATTAGTAAATAAGTTAGGTCCATTTTGTAGCTTAAATGCATAAGCACTAGGCACCTGAGTGTTCTGTTGCTTAAAGGAGAACTATGAGGTGAGTGAAAATCACTCATCCTCATTGTTCGAGCCGACGTGTGACAATGAGACTGTCACACTTCGGCTCAATTGGTCGGGAAGTGAGCGAACACATACTGTCGCACACGCTCACTTCTCGATCATCTCTCTGCAAAGAGCAGGGAGTGGGACTGTCAGTCACGGCTCCCTGCAGGGATCCCTCCCCGCTCCGATCCTCCAGCGCTGAGTGGAGGAACGGACGGGGAGGAGGCAGGCACACCTGGCTCTGCCTCTAGATAGGCAGAGGCCGCTGTCACTCAAGCAGCTGGGTGGATCTCGACAATATTTTCGGGATCCATCCCGGCTGTGGCGCTCTCAGTATATTGTAGTCAATAGCCCGCAATATACTGAGATTTGGGTCACGGGAGGAGGTTAGTATATGTCCTCCCATGACCACAAAGAGAACTATGGGGAAACACACTTACCCCAAACTTATCTTTTAAAGCAAGATGCCTGTAGCTCATAAAAGTACATGTGCTTCTTGTTAGTGATGAAAGAACAGCCTGCTGTGATGTCACTACCCTAAGCTGTAGTTTTAGGAAACACAGCCAACAAAATGGGTGACAAGGCTGCATTTCGCTGACTACTTGATTTCAGGAAATGAGGAAAGAGCCTTTATGATGAACGGATGAAAGATACCTTTTTAACATTTATAAGCAAGCTAGTCAAAACAATTAACACCACTTTACTTAACTTGCCATGCTGCATTATACGCACATTTTTTTTTAGACCATAGTTATTCAACGCTGAATACTGAAAAATGGCCTGGCCAGGAAGGGGGTGAAACACTATGGCCTTCAAGTGGTTAATACATCAACTTTAAAAGGAAAATCGGATTTGTTACCATAGTGCAACATATGTTGCAAGAGGCAAATCTTTCTTTAGTCAGTGTAAATGATCCTCAGTGTTTCTGTTGTATGCATTACTGCTGTAGTATTTGGAAGAAATATAGTTAAAATGCATTACCGCTAACAGATAGAATTACGCCTACGTATAGCATACAGGAATAAGGTTAGAAGGTTAATGAGAAGATATCTTTCTTTTGAGGTTAACTCTAGTAAATATACCTGTTTGTTAAATTGTACTAATTATGCCTTCTTTTATATTTCACTAATGAGACCATCTGCTTGCAGGTCTTTTGCTCAAGGATGCTTGAGTGGTTGGAAGTCACATAATATAATTTTTTTCCCCATCCAAATTCTATTTGTTCTCATGATGATGTACACACCTTCAAAAAAGGAATGCTTTGCTAAATATTCTGTGCAAAGGTGTGCTGGGAGCATTTGCTCCATACAAGTAACTAATTAGAGTGCTGGTGAAGAGGAGGGTTAATTGCAGCAGCTGTTTGATCTAATAGAAAACCTCTTCTTCATGGAGATTGTTGCAGAAAGAGCCTGTGGGAAAGGATGTAATATCTCATTCTGCTTGACCTGGTTGGATGGGGGTAGAAATCAATGTTCAGATAGGAGAAATGTTTTCTCTAAAATTATAATTCTTCCTCATGAGATCCTGCCTAGTTATTAAAGCCTTATCCTTTTCATGTTAATGCAACAGTATATCTTCTTAGTATAGTCTGGTGTGGTGTCATGTCAGGAAAAGGAAATGTGCCCTTTCCATTCTGGCTGTGTGGAATACAGATACACCTGTCAGTAGAACCCTCTGATAAATGGCTGAAGGTGAAAGGGGTGCGATTTAAATAGCTAAATGTCACATATTTTACTTACCTGGTAAAATGAACCCTTCTGTTCTCTCCAAAAGAGTTTGGGCTCATTTATATACTGTATGTGCTGTTTAGTGCGTGTTAATGTGCAATCATTAAAGTGCTTTGCATTAAGGCAGCATATTCAAAACAATGGGCTGACAGTGCAATGAAGACTTCACAAAAATCAGACATTCCACAAAATTTGGAAACACAACACACTATGGTGGACTGCCATGTGTTGCAATTCATGTGCGTTGCCTTAGTGCCTTGGAGTGCTATTCAAAATAAATGGCACTGCAATGTGTTGTGGTAATGCGTGTTTATGCATGCACGTTTCCCTACAATGCGTAGATGTAAATTGGCCTTTATTAATAATACTGCTACATAGCCTTAATTAAATAGTATTGTAAAATATATATGTATAATGTAAATCCTTTATCTATTATTATAAAAAAGGCAATTCCACTTCCTCAGCTCCCCACTGATTACTATGCCTGTCATGCGGCCCACTCCACCAATACAACAAGACTGCTGAGCTGCAGTCATCTACTTCTGTATCACATAAACCCCACAGCATGGAGCAGATGGACTGTGCAGGGAGCTGCAGCAGGAAGATAATACTCAATTAATTGGGGAATATGACTCTCAAGACACCCCACAATGTGAATGGACACCAAGTAATCAGGGGCAGCACACTCAGCATTGTTCAGCCTTGGGAGTCATTACTGGCTGTGCATGGCTCATGCTCTGATCCTGACCTCTGTGGAGGAGTAATTTGGTGTACCCCAGGGTGCCATGGAATTTGGGGAGGGACTGGACAGGAAATATTGCTATACTGCAAAGGTTTCAGGACAGGAGCTTGGTGTCTGCTTACTTACTATGCAGAACA